TATATATATATATATATATATATATATAGATAGATAGATAGATAGATAGATAGATAGATAGATAGATAGATAGATAGATAGATATGATGGATGGATGGATGGATGGATGGATGGAGGCGGAGAGAGAGAGGGAGGATAGATGATGGATGGATGGTAGATAGAAAGATAGAAAGATGATAGGTGGATGGATGGATGGATGCATGATAGATAGATAGATAGATAGATAGATAGATAGATAGATAGATAGATAGATAGATAGATAGATAGATGATAGATAGAATTAGTTTTAAAACATAATAATAGCAACCTACAAAGGAAAAAACAGGAAAGCTGTTATCTTCATTTAAGTAACAAGGGATGACCTACCTGGTGCTTGCGTTGTTGCTGGTGCAGCTGCTGGCGCTGGCGCTGGCGCTGGAGCTGGCGCTGGAGCTGGAGCTGGAGCTGGGGTTGGTGTTGGTTGAGGAGCTGCCACAGGAGGAATGGCGGAGGCTGGTTTTTAGATAGATAGACAGATGATAGATAGATAGAAGATAGATAGAAGTAACGAGGGATGACCTACCTGGTGCTTGCGTTGTTGCTGGTGCAGCTGCTGGCGCTGGTGGTGCTGTTGTCGGTGTGGGTGCTGGCTGAGTCATTAAAGGGGCTGCCGCAGGAAGAACGGTAGGACCTGCCGAATTGTGTTTTTTTTTAAAAAAAAATATAGACATTAAAAAAACAAAAACAACAAACCTCCTCCCCCCCAAAAAAAACGGAAACATGTTTTCTTTAAGTAACTGATAAGAGATGACTTACCAAGGGCATTTGGCAGAAGAAAAAATAGAAGAAAAAAATATTAGGACTTGTATATTAAAATTTGTCCAAGCAACAACAACAACAAGGGAGAGTGTCATCTTCAATTAGGTGGCTTAGCAATAGTAATAGCACTTAATCTTATGTACCCTTTCCCAGTGCCTTACAGCCCTCTCTAAGTGGTTTACAGAGTCAGCCTCTTGCCTCCAACAACCTGGGTCCTCATTTGACCCTCCTCAGAAGGATGGAAGGCTCAGTCAACCTTCAGCTAGTCAGGATCGAACTGCTGACAGTCGGCAGAATCAGCCTGCAATACTTCATTTTAACTACTTCGCCACCACCACTTACCCGGTGTTGTTGCTGGAACGACCCCTGGAGCTTGTGGTTCTGTGGTTGGTTTTGGTGCTGGCTGAGTCGTTAAAGGGGCCGCTGCAGGAGGGACCGTGGGACCTGCTGAATTGTTTTACACGAAGAAAAAGAACAAAGAAAAGATGTTGTTATCTGATAAGGGTGTGTGAATTTCTTTGTTTTTTGTTTACCAGGAGCTTGGGGACTGACTGCTGTTGCTGGTTGTGGAGCTGTTTGAAGTTTTCATTTCCAAGGAGATTTGCCAGAAGAAATAATACAAGAAAAAAAATATATTAGGACTTGTATATTGAAGTTCGAAAAGAAAAAAAAAAGAG